ATTTGGCAGGAAAATAAAAGTAAAAGAGTTGTTTAGGAAACAAAATAATTTTTATGGAATTGACACTCGATTGTCTTACATTTATATCGATAGTGTTATCGATTATCCCGATATTTTTTCAAATGCAGGCACTTAAAAAATTGGAAACGTGGCTATAGATAATATAGAGATTAATATAGAGAAGAAAATTGAGGTTATATTAAAAAAAAAAGATTTATTTTCTGATTAATACACAATATTTATACTAACTTTGGTTATTTTGGTTTTGCCGTAGTTAAATTGATCAAAAATAGTAAGTAAGATCATATTCATTAAGAATATAGCGAAAATAATAAAAATTGTTGTGTCCGTATTGTTTACAGTCACCCAAAATATATTGTCCTCAAATTTCACACAAATACAACCACAATCATTTCGCTTATTTTACCATACAATATGAACCATTAATAAACTCAAAATTTTAAATTCAAAATCAAATTCAGGATTCTACGATATACATACAAATAATTGACATTTATTTTTACAAACTGTCCACTGATGTCCATGTCTAGCGTCTGTCTACAAACGACGTGTACCTTTAGTTAACATTTGAGACACATAGATGACGCCATTGTTGCTGCGGTAGTTGCGTTTCCTATCTTTATATCCCTGATCTGGGGTACAGAGATTACAATTCTTCTTTTAAGTGTCAGTTTGGCTTTATTTCAGAGCCATGCCACGGCATAATAAACAATCGGCAGGCTAACTTGTCTTGGCGGCAACGCTACGCGCATATCTACGCGCACACCGTCATTTTGGGGTCCAACCTCTCAATCAAGCCAGTGGCGTCATTGTCGTCGTTTATATCGACAAAAACAAACAAGTTGCAGTAGCACGGAATCAGTAGCGTGTATCTTAAATTTATTTTGTTTGTGAATTGTTATTTTTTTAGAATTATAGATATTTTTTTGACACTTTTTATATAGTAGTTGTTTTCCAGTGTTAATTTGTTAACTTTTAAGTGTTTTACTATGTCTGGGCAAAGTTGTGCAGCAAAAAACTATATGAATAAACTGTATTAAAAGATTTTTTCGGTTTTCTTAAAGATCTTATTAGGTATGTATGGTATACTTTAAAAAAAATCCTAGTTTATGAGTCAGTTTGTCAGTTATAAAGCTATTAGATGTAGGTAGGTGCCTAGCTAACGTCACGTAAAGTTTAGCGTCAATTTATATTTACTTATGTAGGTATATTATTAAGATTTAAAGTAAAATGTTATATTTTAAACATCTCCCGTATGGAGTTGACATAATGGAAAAATCTTTATTTTTATTTTAAGGAAAAAGTCATTAAAAAAAATTCTGTTTGACGAAAAAAATAGGTTTACTATATTAATATGTTAGGTCAGGTGTACATGGTCTTAATAAATGAAGAAACTTAAAATTGACAAAAGGAAAACATCTGTATTACCTTATTGATTTTACGAAGAAAAGTCACAGTTTTCCTTTCGGTTTTCCTTCATAACTTTAAAAGGAAACTTTTTCTTGTAATTTTCTTCAACAAGCAGAATTTTTTGTATGGAATAATTTTTTTTTTCTGAAAAAAAAATTAATATTAATCGTAATTGTGTTATTCCCAAATATTGAAATGCTTAACAAAAATTTAATTCTGATATTCATTTTGATAATTATTCTAGATATGCGAATAACAAAGCTTTATAATCTTGATAAATCTAAAGTATTTTCATTACAAAGAGCAAGAAAAATCTTAATTAGCCATTAAAGAAATTATAAGTAGTAAATTAGTAATGAGTCACAATCAAAATCATGTGTTTTAAGCAGTGCTATTAAAAATGTAAAATTCTTATATTTTGTCGAAGTAAATTCAAAAGCCCGCCAATTTTCAAGCTAAAATAGCATTACATCTTTCTATATTACCGACTGAGTATTAATTGCACAAAACTATTCCATATGTCGCTGAAGGTAAACATGCTGCCAAATTTCTGTGAGGAATCTGCAACTCTTAATTATCCTTCCTCCATGATGGTAACTGTGTAAACCCTACATCGGTTCAAATTCAAAGGACGTTCAAAAAATTGCAATGTTTAAATTTATTACATTCTGGAACTGAAAACTGCGAAACAGGTGGGAATGCTTTACTTGTAAGGCTACATGAAATTCGTAGGACTATACTCTGTTTTTAAACTAGGAGGAGCGAATTGAAAAGACGCATTTACACAGTGAAAAGTAACTAGATTTGTTACTAAGAGCGAGTTTAGAAATATAGTCGTGTTCAAAATTTATGAAATAATTATCTTTATCGGCCTTAGTCGGTGAACCGCCAATGAGCGGTTAAGAAACGAATAAATGTCATAGAAGTAATTTTTAATTGGTCCCAGACAACGGTCGCAAATTTCACATTATTGTGATCAAATGTGTGTCTAAAACGAAATGTCACTGTCAAATTAAAGTCAATATGGTTGTTGATTGATGTCAGAAATAATTTTTTCTTGCCTTTGAAATCGACTTTTTGAGAATAACTATGATCTTTTTAAAATGGATATTACATATTTAAGAAAATTTTTAATGGCATATCCAGATGTAGCCAGGTTAGTATAAAATATAAAGATCTGTTTACATTTTTAAGGATATATTTGTTATAGGTATAAAAAGTAAAAGTTAATCAGTGAATGACAAGTGGATCACACAGTAGCTGGTATCTCTTCTATGAGTAATGTGGATATTATGGCTTATTTAGTGTTAACCCATGGTTAATGCGCTAGAGGCCGAATAAAGGCATTCAAAAGTTTACAGGCCTATGAGTCAGAATTTGTTTTGAAAACTGGAACCAACATTTTCATAACACTACATGTTAACATATATTTTTTAAAGTGAACTATTCATACATACCTATGTATTAATTTTAAGTATTTTTAAAATATTTTTTGTGAAAGTAATGTTAACTCATTGTGCCAAATTAAGATGGTCCCTAAAGTAGTAGATGGTGTTTTAAATGTTATAACAATTTTGTAAATAGTTTTATTCTATTCTAATAAATAAAATTTGCTTGAATATTTAGTTACATTTTAATCATTTTGGTTAGAAATTCATCAATTTTGTTTTAAAAAATCAGTAATAAAATTATTTTTTTCTAAAATACTTCGGAATTCATCTCTTCATGGTAATCTCCCATCTTTTTACCTTCAAAAACCAATAATGCATTTTCTACAAAACCTTCAGAATCAGCATGTAATAAGGTGTCTTCCCTTTCTTGTAAGGCTTTTCAGGAATTGCTACCTTTAATAGTACTTAGTGTAGAAGGATCCATAATTGTAGATTTTCAACACAATTGCTTACTGAAGAACTATTATTTACGAAATAAAGTAAAAAACTAAGCAATGGATGAGATATCAAATTATAAAATGTCAGAACTGTCAACAATATTAATTATTAGCTGATGTTCATGCTAAAAAGTAATGTGTGAAACTGACTGTAATCTGACCAATCAGAAGGCTACAGAATTGCCAACTTAAATTCAAATCGCTCCTCTTAGTTTAAAAACAGAGTATAGTAAGGATGAGCCATTTTCCAAAATTGCGTGTAATGGTGGCAATATTTTGTCAAAAATGTAAATATAAACAAGCATATTAATGAATTGCATGCACAAAATATTAATATTTTTTAAGAAAATTTTATTATATATGCGGATTTTTAATAAAAAAAATGTCTTAAAATTCAACGTTGCGATGTATGTACACAATATGCCTTAACACACGAAGACTTGGATATAAGCTCCATGTATTGTTATTATAAAGCATACAAAAAAAGCAAATAAAGATATTTTTGGCAATTTAAAAATGTCTAATAATAGTTTTGTATGTTTAACAACAAAAATTGAAATAATTTTTCATCACAATTTTGAATTATTTATCACTAAATCCGGCGTTTGTAATTTTTTTTAGATTTAATTAATTCCGAGATAACATTTGACGCTCCTTGTCCCCGATTTCCATAAATATATGTTATTAAGGGTCGATACCACCGTTGTGTTAAACGAAGATTAAAATGACATTGTTAATGTAAAAATGTAATTTTAAACTTCGTTTAACACAACGGTGGAATCGGTCCTAAGTTATATTTAAGGCTGCTCATATATTTCACTTTAAAAATATTAATAGAAATTTTAAGACCATCAATAAAAACAAGCTAATTATTTGGCGCAATCTGTGAAGCTTTTTTGTTTTAATACGATCCTGCCTTTCAATACCTTATTTTATTACAAAATCTTTAAATACGCTTTAATCCGACCCTGACTAAGACCCCCGAATGGCGTCGTCAAGGTCAAATTTTCTTAGTACAATATTTGTATGCGATCAGCGGAGAGTGGGCCTGCCGAGTTATATATTGAGAATATAATAGACTCTTTTATATATTATCTTTGATTAATAATCAGTTTTACTTTATAAATAGGAGTAGAACCTTATTATTGTTGTTATTTGTCTTTAGTTACTTGACTATAGTTATTTGTCTCTAGCTATTCGAAGTAGCTTTAGTTCAGATATCCATTTAAGTGTATTTTATACTTAATAAAATTTTTAAAAATAAAAGTTCCATTTTGGAATTTATAACTGCCGATTGTTTTTTATGCCGTGGCCATGCTTAATTATCTCTGACCCTGCTCGTTTTTTTGCCAATGAATGCGTACGTTTTTTTATTATAGAAATAAATATAATATGAAATTTAAATTTCTATCACGAAATGAGAACTTTTTAAAATTATCCTACTCTTTAACTCACAATGTAGTTAATACAGAACTTGCAATTTACGGGCTTGTAAAATAATGCTAAAAGACGTAATACCTACTTTTTTCCTCAAGCAATAATAATGTGTCACATGGGACATGGGGATGAGTGAGAGTGTCAACAGAAATAAAAATACATAACACCTTCATCCATAAAAAAAATGTAACGTAGCAACTTCAACCTCCAATGCCTTCATTTTTTAACATAGTATAAATTTCAGAGAGCCTTAGCAGCTGAAAGAAGAATTATCAATCAATTTGGAAAAGTTACTACTAGATGCTTTTTATGCGCGGCTGACATTGCTGGAAAAGTACCGTTTGAATATATGCAAAACTTATTTTGTTCCATGGAATGTTTAAAAGCTCATAGAATGCAGAAACCTGTTTTGTTGTCGTAATAAATTCCACTTTAATTTAAACCGAGGACAATAAAAAATGTTTTTGAATTGTAGGTTGTTTTATTCCCAAAACTAAATTACATTGGTAAAAATTCCTACATGTTTACAAATCATTGTGTTCATGAAAAGGTATAGTTCCAATCGGTTTTACTATTAATATACAGTATGGTTCAAATGAAAGGAATAAATTAATTATAATGGAAGTAGTTGGTTTTTCGAAAAAATGCTCGGACAGGTCAATTTTGTTTACTTAAAGCGCAATTTTTTAAATAGAATTTAATATTCCCCCACTTCACATTTTTGGGCAGTGACGTCATTGACAATTTTTTTAAATAGTAACCCCAATTTCTTTTTTTTTATTTTGATAGATCTTGCAATTTCCTACTCGGAAACATAATATTTGAAATATCTTACATAACAATTTTTTTGAATAAAAGACATTTAAAGATCAGACATATATATTTTATTTTATTTTGAGAACACAATAAATGAATAAAAGATAATTATTTGTAATTAAGTGCTTAATCTAACAAAATAATTAATAATAATAATAATAATATAGAAAAAATTTTGTGAAGTTGTCATTAAATTCTTTTTATTATTATTATTATTATTTTTTTAGATGAAGCACTTAATTACAAATAATCTTTTATTCATTTATTGTGTTTCAAAATAAAATAAAATTTATGTATCTGATCTTTAAATGACTTTTATTCAAAAAAAATTGTTATGTCAGATATTTCAAATATTATGTTTCCGAGTAGGAAATTGCAAGATCTATCAAAATCAAGAAAAAAAAATTTTGGTTACTATTTAAAAAAAATGTCAATGACGTCACTGCCCAAAAATGGGAGGTGGGGGAAAATTAAATTCTATTTAAAAAATTGCGCTTTTAGTAAACAAAATTGACCTGTCCGAGCATTTTTTCGAAAAACCACCTACTTCCATTATAATGAATTTATTCCTTTCATTTGAACCATACTGTATAGAATTAAAATAGAAATAATGCATCTGACATACAGGGTGTTCCACTGAATAAACTTTAACAGAAAATTCCAACTACCTTACAATTACAAATAATACAGTGTATACATTTTTGAAAATGGGAAGAAAGGGACTTTCAGATGGTTTGAAAAAAAAGTGTTCTATTTAAAGTAAACCGATAATTTTGCAAAAAAGCCAATTTTTCCGGCTATTTGGGGAAAAACTGTACGTCTATATCTTTTTCCATTCTTGAGTTATAAGCTGTTAAAATCTGTAACTTTATAGTGGGACACTGTGTATTTCACATCTGATGCTGATATAGTAGGTAGAATCTATTCACACATTGTCGAAACGCGAGAAAAGGTAAATGATACTTTTCATAAAATAATGCTATATGTGTCACTTTCTTAAGAAGTGTTAGAAAATTGATTTATAACTGGACACGAACTATTATTATGTCAAATTTGGGGGATTTTATCACTATTCCGTCATTTGTCTGTAGATGCCATGTTTCCATTCTGATCGTTCGCATCAATTAGACATTCTAATGTCTTGTCAATGGGTGCTATGATTGAACGTTTACGTCATCCGTACATGTTAGGACGAGTATTAACATTAACGAGGCAAGTTCGTATGATGGAAAACTTTTTCCAACATATTCCCAGCAAACACAAACATGTAACTTTTATGTATCATTTACATGTACTAGTTCCGTGTTACATAACAAAGTAACTTACATGTTACATAATAACTCACGTGATTACTGTGAAAAATGACCTAATTTTGTTATATAGCAGGTTTCTTATATATGATGTAATGTATTAAGTACATGTAAGGAACAATGTTATATATCAAAAGACATGTAATATTTATATTACCATTGTAACATTTAATATATGCTTCATTATTACAGAACATATACATTACTTTTTTCATGTAACATGAATATTATAAATGAAGGTATGTAAATGTGTCGTCTCAAAATGTAGGTATTAGTTATACAGTATGTCTACTTAAGTTGGAACCAAATGGAAAACTTTTTTATTATTGGTGTTGTGAAAAAATGTATTCTTGATAAAAAGTTCTGCATGGTCCAAAACTTAAAAAATCATCAGATATTAATTTATTTAAGCTGTATACGAGGTTTGTCTAAAAATATGAATTTTACTCAAGAGTAAAGTACCTTTATTTTTTTTTTAGAATACAGAAGAACATTATAAAGTAAAGTTATTTTGAATTAAAAGTTATATTCAAATATACAATTACAGACATTTAGCATGAAGATTCAGGTTAACTTTACTTCATAACATTCTTCTATATTGTAAAATATAAAGGTACTTTACTCTTGAGTAAAATTAATATTTTTGGCAAACCTCGTATAGTGCTTAAAAAAATTGATATCTGATGGTTGCATTTTAAGTTTTGGACCATGCAGAACTTTTTATCAAGAATATATTTTTTCACAACACCAATAATAAAAAAGTTTTCCATTTGGTTCCAACTAGACACACTGTATGACAAATACTTACAAAAAAAACGTCGAAAATATTTGGTGGATAAAGAAAAGTAATTTAAACGTATTTGTTAGGTATATCAATAATTTTATTGGTCAAATTCATAACCGATACCAAAAATGTATTATAAAAATATTGCACACAAATATAACCCAAATTCATCATAAAAATCACAAAATATCTGCCATTAACGACGATCCACGACCTCAAAATTCAGGGCCCCATAAAGCATGACCTGAAAAGAGAACAAAAATTATTATTTACAACTCAAATGTATCATCGAAATACAGCACACACGTATAATAACTCAATTCCATTATAAAAACACAACATACCTGCTATTGTTCACAAAAAAAACAAAAATGCCACAGATACCTCCATAAAACACCTATAGCCGCTATTGAAAATGCTACTAAAAATAATGCACCAGATATACCTACTTACCTACCTAAAAAACATATGTATTTCAAGGACCGTTTGGTCAACAGCATTTATGTATATATACGCTATGTAACATTTTGAACGAAATAATTTAGTACAAATTGTTACTTTAATGTAGATTACATATAGATATATAAATAGATATAATCTTTATGTGAGGAAATTTATATAACAGATATGTAATTTTTGTAATATATATTATAATTATATACATGGTATATAACTATCGTGCTAAGTTTGAACTTAGGTGTTCGGTTCCATAAATAACACATAAAAGTGCATACAAGACAGTCTAAGTATATTTTATCCTTCTTAGTTATGTAACAGGAGGGAACATGTTACCGAATGGTTTGCTGGGTTACTGTTATTTTCTGCTTATTATGTTCTAATTTAACAATTTTCCATCACCACAAACTTGCCTCGTTAGTGTTAAAACTCGGCCTAACATGTACGTTACGGATAACGTAAACATTCAATCATAGCACCCAATATGGACAAAAATGGCCGATGCTTGGCAAAAACAACAAAGTTTATTAAACTAACTTTTTTCATTAGTATTTTGACTGTTATTAATATTTATATACTCTGTGACGAAGTCACTAAATTTTATTTTTAATTCATCCTAAAAAATGTATATTTCAATTAATTCCCGCCTGAGAACATATAGAAGTTCCCCCGTATTTCTGTTTCCCAAGAATTACCGATTTTCAACAATTGCGAGTACCCTCGTAGGTTAAAATAGTCTTTTATTTGCCGAAATCCGAATTGGCATTTTTAGAGTCGATTTCGTATGAATTATCTACTTTATAATTGTCAAGGGTACAAGAAGGACATTTTTTGTATTTCTGAATTGTAAACAGTCGGCTGTGGTAGTGGTATCCCCACTTTGTCGTACTATATAGTCTTCCATCTTTCTTTACCGAAAAGGCATAAATTGATGGAAAGCTAAAAATGCCGCCTCTTGACTCCCGACACCCGAGAAGTACTGATCTTTCTAAAAATTATAGTGACGACGGCGCCGTATAGTGCCGTGACCGTAAATAAGTTGGTTAACCTGTTGGATTTGTTAAGGTAGGAACCGTATATTTTTTTATATTTTCTTTCATATACTTTCATATAATTAATTGGGACACCCGTGTTACAAATCAAGAATTTTGATTCATGCCCAGCATTTTTCATTTCATTCCTTAGTGGAAACCGTTGGCAATTTTTTTATAAGAAGCACCCAGTATTTTTCATGTAAATTTCTCTTTTCTTTTATTTACTCATTCAATTGTATTTGAATCATTCCGTTCTCTGTCCACAACTAATTATTGAACGAAGCCGACGATTTCTGTAAAATCAATTCACACACCGTCAAATCTCAAAATAATTTTTACGTTAAACATTGTATTTTTCTCCCAAACACCGCGCTGAAACCTACTCATTCAATAATTACCAGAGCGCCGCCGATCGCCTCGTCTAAGATACAGGGACGTTCCGAAAACTTTGATTTCATTTATTTGCTTGCATTTAATTACCGTCATATTTCAATTGTTTTCGAGTGTATTAATTTATTTTTAATAATCCATTATGTTAATCAGGAGGTGATAGCGGTATTCGCTTGCTTCCTCCTGTCGATAAAAGGTTTCTCTCTTGTAGAAGCTATGGACTACCAGATGTCTACATGAAAGAGACTTTCAATCGTTAATATTTAATTAGTTTTCATTGATAATAATTTATTTTTAATCAATTTTCCGCATATAGGGAGCCGTTAATATTTAATTAGTTTTCATTGATAATAATTTATTTTTAATCAATTTTCCGCATATAGGGAGCCGTTAATATTTAATTAGTTTTCACTGGTAACAATTTATTTTTAATAAGTTTTCGCATATAGGGAGCCGTTCATATTTAATTGCCGTTGTATTATTAATTTTTGTAAATATATATTTTAGTACCTATTCCTGTGTTTCTCTTATTACTGGTTCTTAACCGTTCTCTTTCAGGGTACCGTAGGGTACGAGGTGTAAAGGAGATAAGTGTTTTATTTTTATTTATTCTACTATAGTGGCAACCTAGCAGTGACCGCCTGGAATTAGTTTTACCTCCACTGAGTTCACCTTGTGTACACTC